GTTTTCAATTTTGGGGAATAAATTAAATGCCTAGGAATAGAACTACCTGGTCATATAGTAATTCTAGTCTTGGCTTTTTCTTTTTTTTTTTTTTTTTTTTTTTTTTTTTTTTTGGTACCAGGAACTGAACTCAGGACCTTGCACTTGCCAGGCAGGTACTTATGCCACTGAGCTATGTCTCGGGCCACAAGTTTGGCTGAGAAACTTCCAAGCCATTTTTTTTTTTCACAGTAGCAGCACCATGTTACATTCCCATCAGCAGAGGACAGAGGTCCCAGTTTCTCTGTACCTTTGCCAACACTTAGCTGGGTGCCGCAGCCGTCCTACAGCACTGGGAGCGGCACCTCATTGTGGGTTAACTTCGCAGGTCCCTCACGACTAAAGATGCTGAATGGTTTTTGGTGTAACTACTCTTTGTACATCCTCTTTGAAGAAGTGCTTACATTGTGTGTCCTTTTTTGTTTTGTGTCGTTTGTGACGGCTGAGTTATTGGGGTTCTTCACAGATTGGCTATGAATTAGTTCCTTACCATTATGGCTTGCGTCTAAATGTCTCCTGCCCCCACACCCCATGCAGTCATGGGGGCGGCTTCTACAGTTTGTGGCTGATCCGTGGTCTGGTGCTGGGCTTATGGCTGTGAGTGCTGCACCCGCCCTGGGGTGGGCGGCCGGCATGTACTATAGGGAGGGGGAGGGGGCTGCTCTCGCTGCTCCTCCCTTTTCGCTCTTGTTGTTTTGCTGTGTTTCTCTGCCTTGATCTGCTGCCCCCTGCCATGGGCCACCCTGCCTTGGAGCCAGCTGATTATGGACTGAAACCTTTACAAACTGTGAGCTAAATAAACTTTTCAATCTCGGTTACTCTTCTGTCATTGCTGGGACAAATACTCAACACCCAAAATGAAGGAATGAAAGGTTTATTTAGCTCACAGTTAATGGAGGTTTCAGTCCATACTCCGCTGGCTCCAAGCAGAGTGGCACAGGGCCGACGGCAGCAGTTCGTGGCAGCGGCAAAGAACAAGAGCAAATGGGAGGAGGAGTGGCAACAATGGCAGCAAGCCAGCCTGTCTCTCTGTCTTATGTTAAATTCAGGCTCTCTGCCCCAGGCTGAGTGTAGCACTCACACCCATAATCTCAGCAGCACTCAGACCCATAATCCCAGCCTTGGATTATGAATTAATCACCAACTGTAGCACTGTGCCTCAAACACTGCATGAGGCTTTGGGGGGGCAAACATAAGCCATAACACGTTTCCTTCCTTAATATTGGGCATCAGCTATTTTGTCTCGGCAACAGGAGGAAAATAATGAACATACTTACCAAATATGCAATTTGCAAATATTTTCTCCCACTCTATGAGTTGTCGTATTCTTTTTTTTTCTAAGTTTTTAAAAAAATTTTATTTGTTTATGTGTGTGTGTGTGTGTGTGTGTGTGTGGCCAGCTCAGCCCACCTGGGGGCAGGGCTGGCTGCATGTGGTGCTGGGGGATTGAACCGCAGTCCCTGTGCTTTGCTAAACTTGTTCTAAGTAGGTGCTTTAGACCACTGAGCCATCTCACCAGCCCCAAGCTGTCGTATTCTTAAGCATTTGACTTTTTCATGCTAAGGTAAAAGGCGTGGTTTTCTTAATTTATTTTCTGGATTTCTTGCTCTAATTTTTAATGACAGCTTAGTAAATGCTAAACACAGAGCTACATGTCTTTCGGGATTTTTTTCATTTACATCTCAAATGAAAACTGCATGAGAAACCTACTATTTATTATTACCATTCCCATTTTATAGATGAATTAAATGAGAAGAATTTGCAAGTCAGCATCTAGTAAGTAGCAGAGCCTGTAATCCCAGCTTCTCAGGAGGTAGAGGCAGAAGGAACTCAAATTCACACTCAGCCTCGGCAGTGTATAGAGTCACCACCAGTTTGAGACTGGGCCAAATAGCTCAGTGGATTAAAGCACCTGCTTAGGCAGATGCCGGGGCCAGGAGTTCAATCCCTGGGCCTGCTGTGGCCCAGGCCCCAGGGTGCGCTGAGACAGCAATTGAGACTGGGCTGGGTATGGTGGCGCGCGCCTGTAATCCCAGCTCTTGGGAGGCTGTAAACAGGAGGATCACTACAAATCTGATCTAAGCAGTGAGACCCTGTAGACCCTGTCCTAAAATACAAAAAGAAAAGAAAAGAAAACAAAAGAAAAGAAAAGAGGGAGGGAAGGAGGGAGGGAGGGAGGGAGGGAGGAAGGAAGGAAGGAAGGAAGGAAGGAAGGAAGGAAGGAAGAAAGGAAGGAAAGAAAAAAAGTCATAACCAATCCTGGCACCTGGGAGGATCACGAGTCTGAGGCCAGTGTGAGCTACATAGGAAGATCCTGTCTCAAAAAGGAAAGACAAAACACTAATAACAACACAAGCTCACGGTCTACTCTTGGTTTCTTATGGGAACTTGACTTAGTATGTTCAATACAGAGCCAGCGAGTGGCAGTGCGAGGGGCAGAGAGGGACCTCTGATGGCCTGTTCCTTCCCAGCACTGGCAAAAATAGCCCAAATCAACACCTCAGAACTCCGGAGGTTGGTGAAGGGTTACAGTATCTACGGAGAAAGATCAAAGCAGGAGAAAGTCACAGACTTCGCATGAGCTTTGCAAGTGTTTGGACTTCAGCCCCGGTCACCTCCGTAGCATGATGCAGCCTTCTTTCCTTTCCTGTCCTTTCCTTTTTGATACAGGGTCGGTCTCCCTATGAAGCTTGGACTTGTAGTGACCCTCCAGTCTCGGTCTCCCCAGTGCTGGGATTCCAGGAGTGCACCACCATGCCTGGTTTTCGTGGCTGGCACTCTATGCCCAGGGTTGCGGGCCGGCACAGCATGCAGTATGAGGGATAGAACTTGGGACCTTGCACTTGCCACACAGGCACTTATGCCACTGAGCTATCTCCCCAGCCCAAAAACTCTCTTTCTTTTTGGTACAGGGGATTGAATTTGGGATGAATTTGGGACCTTGCACTGGCTGGGCAGGCGCTTATGCCGCTGAACTATCTTCCTACCCACGATGGAGTCTTGAAGGCCGCATCAGCCTGTGTTCCTGGTGCAAGTGCCTGGTCCCAGGACGGCAGAGGGGCTCTCTCCCCCAGCACTTACATCACCTGAGGCTTCCCCGCAAGTTGATGACGTGAGGGCACTGTGCTTATGTCACTGAACCCAAGCACAGCAATGCCAGGAAACAGCCCCATGCAGCCAACGGAACAAGTTACAGCCCTGGGGAGGAAGAGTAGGGGCGTGGGAGTCTTGAATACTAGGGCTTTCGAGATCTCCCCTATCCCAGGCAGGATGGATACTCAGAAAAGTACTTGAGAAGACCATAAGCTTTGACCTCTAGCTGGTCTTTAGGGTCTGCACAAGCAAGAAATGAAGGAAGGTGAAGGCAGAGTTGTACCTGTGGCTCCGGGTGGGGCAGTGGCCCATCAGAGGTGATCTGCAAAGGCCTGCGGTCCCCTCTCTTTTCCTCCTCTTTTTTCTCCCTTTCTTGAACCTTCCATCCCTTGATTCACCCATCTTGGCTCTGTCCCTTTTTCACATTACGATATTCAAAATGCTCTGTTTTCATGGCAATAATAGAAAGTAAACAAATAATTAATAAAATATGGCCCATTCACTGGAAAAACTAAACAGTACGTATCCAAGGAAGCACAGATGTTGGGTGTATTAAACAAAACACTTGAATCGTTTATTGTGTGCTTAAAAAACTAAAGAGGGCCGGGGAAATGACTCAGTAGAATAAGTGCTTCCCTAGCAAGCACGAGGGCCTGAGTTCAATCCCCGGTGCCGGGGGGTTGCGGGGGAAGAAAGAAAAAAGAAAAGAAAAAGAAAAACAATTTAAAAAACTAAAGGAAGTCAAAATTAAAGAGCTGAAGGGGGACCGGGGAGATGGCTCAGTAGAATAAGCACTTCCCTGGCAAGCACAAGGGCCTGAGTTCAATCCCCGATTCCGCCAAAGGGGGAAAAAAAAAGCTGAAGGAAATCTGGAGAACAATGTCCCAGCAAGTATAGTATATCAGTAGAAAGATAGAAGTTACTAAAAGAACTGCGGGAGCTGGGCATGGTGGCATACACCTGTAATCTCAGCTCTCAGGAGGCTGAGGCAGGATGATCCCCGTGAGTTTGAGACCAGCCTGGGCTACATGGTGAGTTTGAGACCAGTGCTGAACTATATAGCAAAACTCCACAAAGAACTGGGTGAACAGCTCTTTCTTTGTGTCTGACATCTTACCAAGGGTGACGAAGTTGCTGCCGCTCTGTGAGCTCCAAGTTACACAAGCGTGGAAATGACTGTCAAATAGTATGTTGGCCAGGCTGGCACTGAACTCCTGGTTTCAAGAGATCTGACTCTCTCAGCCTGCCGAGTAGCTGGGACTACAGGACACGCCACTGTGTCTGTCTACAGAGTATTTGTGGTTTTGTTTTATTGTTGTTATTTGTAAGTTTTATTTTGAGATTAGAAAATATTTGTTTTTTGAGACGAGGTCTCTCTATGTAGTTCAGGCTGGCCTTGAACTCACGATGGAGCCCAGACTGGCTTCCAACTCACAGCAAACCTCCTGCCTCATGATAGGCATGCCCCATCCTGCCTGACAACATTGTCGTCATCGTCGTCGTCATCGTCATCATCGTCGTCATCATCATCATCATCATCGTCATCGTCATCGTCATCATCATCATCATTGTCATCGTCATCGTCATCGTCATCATCATCGTCATCATTGTCATCATCATCGTTGTCATCGTCATCATCGTCATCATCATCATCGTCATCGTCGTCATCATCGTCATCATCGTTGTCGTCATCATCATCGTCATCGTCGTCATCATCGTCATCGTCATCATCGTCATCGTCATCGTCATCATCTTCATCATCGTTGTCATCATCGTCGTCGTCATCGTTGTCATCGTCATCATCGTTGTCATCGTCATCGTCATCGTCATCATCATCGTCATCATTGTCATCGTCATCGTCATCATCGTCATCGTCATCATCATCGTCATCATTGTTGTCGTCATCATCGTTGTCATCGTCATCATCGTCATCGTCATCGTCATCGTCGTCATCATCATCGTCATCATCGTCATCGTCATCGTCATCATCATCGTCATCATCATCGTCATCATCGTTGTCGTCATCATCGTCATCATCATCGTCATCGTCGTCATCATCATCATCGTCATCATCATCATC